GATCAATCTTTCTTTAGCAGTTTTCTACCTTAGTCCTTTTCTTAAAGGCTTTGACTCTGAGTATTGTTGCCAGGTATTCTTCGGTACGTCACCCATTTGACCATTCTATGTTTAAGATTAAATGCTACGTTGTGATAGACAATTTTACTGTAATGGCATCATAGATGAGCTGATCTATCTGTCACCCAGTTTGCACATTTTCTAAATCCTGAATTGATGATCTGGAGTAGGAGTCCTCCTGAAAGTTCCTTTTCTTAGTCCAAGGATGTTGAGGCCAGTTGTGCCATCCAACTTCAAACAGTGTAAAGGATCTTTTGTGACCACCTGAAACAGCAGATTTGGCCTTGATTGAAAGTTTGTTCTAAAATAAATGCTGCTCTTAAGGGTTCTGAATGGAAGAGTACCAGTCTAAATTGTGCTCAGTTCTTTGGAGTTGGTGTTGCATCCCATGAACGGTTGGCATAGAGAAAAAGAGAGTATTCCCATTGGGTTAAGGTCAGGTCTGTAAAATATCTGTAAAAGTGGGGGAACCACTTGGTTGTTTTGTCTCCCCTTACCAACACTCCATATTTTATAGACTGATTAATTTGCCTCCTAAAGCTCCCTACGAAGGGTGGTGATATTTAGGAATAGTTTCGGGGCTATACATCAGCTTACTTGTTGCTGAGCTTTCTCGAGCATGCAAAAAAAATCAAGATCTTGTCTTGTACAGCACATAACTTGCTGTTCATCCTATGTATAAAGATTGGCATTGAGGTCATTGCTCTTGAGTTCACTCCATGAGTCCCTGGACCCTATTCCAAGGAGTGGATAACATTTTGTTTTTGCCTTTTAATGAATTTCAAAAAGAACCAATTCATTACTGTGAGTCCCTTTCAAACACAATGCAGATTATAACTTGGGCCCCACAAACATAATACTAAATCCTTGTTATATCTCACATGAACACCTTCCAAACCCACAACCACAACCATCTAGAAAGTAAAGAGCTGCAGATACGTGGGAACACCACCACCTTCCAAGTTCCCGTCCATCCTGACTTGGAAGTATATCCCCATTCCTTCATTGCCACTGGGTCAAAATCCTGGCATTCTTTCCTTAAGGGCATTGTGGGTCAGCCTACAACACATGGACTGTAGAGGTTCAAGAAGGCCGCTCACCACCGTCTATTCAAGGGCAAGCAGGGATGGGCAATAAATGCTGGCCAGCTGGCAACGCCCACAAATAAATTTTAAAAGATGGTTTTGAAAACCGATGAATGGCATGTTGGTCCAGCAGCCATTGCTTTACTGAGGCTTCCTGGAATCGAAGGACGTTTACATCCACCCATACTGTGCCCAACTAGGATTGAGATGCATTTGGTAGTAATAATGGATTTTCCAATTGTAAAACTTTCCAAAGCTCATTTCGCTGCTCTTTGGCATACTTGATTGTTTACAGTCTGCCTCGCTTTCCATAACCATGCAACTCTTCAATTGTGAAATTTTTTTTCTGTTGTATTTTTTTTTGTCCAGAGGGAAACTATCCTGCTACTTTTCAATAATCCTTAATCAAGATGTTAAATTTATAGCCTTAACATTCTACATTTATGAATAATTGTTATTAGATGACATCTAGTCAGAATTAAGTGTGAGATTTGGAAGTTGGGATCAATACCCAAAGAATTAGCAGTACTTCAGCATTTATAAATAAAAACATTGGCTGGAAATCTGAAATGAAAGCTGAAAATTCCAAATATGTCAGTGAAAACGATGTGAGCCATTATTAAAGTTTAAATTTTGTCATAGCCTTTCCCCTCAGATGTTGATGACTGTTGTGGTCTATTTTCTGCTACTAAAGTATCTGAGGTGGAGGAGAAGCAGCCTTTTATTCGCAACTTTGCTGTTTGTTCCCACAACTTGCTTATATGCATGACAGTTCAGGACGACTTAACATCCTTGAGGTTACCTGAACCAGCTGTGTAAATATTGTGGCTACAGGAGCAAGTTAAAGACTTGCTATTGTTTAAAAAGCAACTCACTTTTATTTATTTGTGGGATGAGAGCATCACTGGCTGAGCCAGCATTTGTAGGCCATTTTTAATTGCTCTTGAGAACAAATGTTCTGGCTATTCATTTCCATAGCTGTTGCACACAATGAGGATTCAGGAGAGGGAAGCAGCAAGTGGATGGTTTAGAGGGAGCAGGAGAGGTTGCAAATTGGCAAGTTGGCAACTAGGGAGCAGGAGGGGCTGGGGTCAAACGGGTCCCATGTCGCTGTGTTAAACGAGCATGAAAAGACTTTAATATTGAACTCATGGTGCCAAATGAGAATTCAAGTCCCATTAACTGACCAGGATTAAAGGGCAACAAATTAAAACATGGCACGATTAAACAGGAATTGCTGAAGCTGCGCCACATGAACTGCAGCAATTCAAGAGGTGGCTCACCACCACTTTCTCGAGGGCAGCTAGGGAAAGACTCTAACATTGTCAGCCACACATGCCATGAGAAAATTAAAAACAAAATTTCAAAAATAATTTGCTTCAAAGAACTGACTCCCATCATAAGGTTTTTGCAGAAGGGAAGAGTAATAATGATTCATGTAACTCAAATGTTTAAGGGAATTAGCATGTTGTTTTAGATTTTAAAGCACATAAAAGCTTTTCAAACCTCAGTGTTTGTTTTCTTAAAAAAACGAGTTTGCAAGGAGCAGATTTTTCAGGAAGCTTCCTGAATTAGTACTCTGAGCTTCAGAAATTACACTCCAAATCTATTGTATAAAATGGTTTCTGTGGATCAATCACTTTGGGTAAAGCCTTTACCCCTTAGAATGACTGAATGACAATGAGCAATTTATGTCTACTGTTGAACTGCCACAGTTCCTGGTGGTCTTTTATTGTGGTGGAGACCTCTTAAGTGTCAAATTTAGTTTAGCTTCACACTATGCCACTGAACACTTTTAATCCCGTTTAAGGGCTGGTAAACTCAAGAGCAGAATATTTCCATAGCTTCATAATGTATCCATAGATGACATCTGAGGGGTGACATTTACCTACTTTATTAGACAGCTAATGCACCATAGTTAGAAGGATTTTGCAGCCCAGCCATATCTATTTAATGTGCCCAGAGCAGTTAACCTTAATATTGGTCTCATCAAATCTCCCTACATTTCACTGATTATTGATGCTTCCATGACAAGCCGTCTTTGAGAATGTCTGTTTCTCTCACTTACCAGCTCAATATCAGTGTTCATTTGAGTGCGACATAACAAGAAGTTCTCAAACAAATCTTACTCACCAAAGGAATATCATATAGAACAAAGTAGTATTTCATGTCTTTATCAATTCCCACTTCTACTCAGAATCACAGTGTGTTTGGGGCACAGAAAGAAACCTTTCAGCTTGTTGTGTCCGTGCGGGCTCTCTGAAGGAGCAATTCACCTGGTACATTCCCCGACTTCTCCCTGTAGCCTTGCACATTGTTCCTCTTTAACAGTTCCCTTTCAAATGTTTCGATTGAACCTGCCTCCACTGCACTAGGGATCAGAACAATTGGCTGTGTAAAAAACTTTTTCTTGCTTTTGCCAATTATCTTAAGTCTATGCATTCTTGTTCATTTTCGCCAATGGAAATACCTTTCCTTAACTACTCTCTTCAGATCCCTCCTAAATCTCCATCAAGTCTCCTCTTCTGCAAGGAAAACAGTGCCAACCTGTCCACTAAGTCTGAATGATTGAAGTTCCTCATCCCTGGAAACATCATGCAAATCTTTTCTGCACTCTCCCCAATGTCTTCATAACCTTCTGAAAGTACAGTGCCCCAAACTAAAGACACAACTCCAGCTGAGGTTGAACCTTTGTTCTGTACAAGTTGATTCACTCACCTTGCTGGGATGTATAAAATGTAGTTGAAGAGGAAATTTTGTTGACCATTACACAATAACAAATTAAACTATTATAATGATTTGTCATTCAAAGATACTTGCCATGTGGAAATTGGTTTTCAAATAATCTGTAGTAAGCTCTGATTAGCGTCAGTGCCCATTTAGGTTGGCTGTTATTTGTGTGATTTCTTAGTTTTTTCTAATCACTGAGTGATTGCTGATATTATAGAAACTAGGAGCGGGCAGTGGTGATGTCCCGACCTCTCGACCAAAAGGCCTGGGTTCACGTCCCACCAACTGCAGTGGTGTGTCATGACACTTCTGAAAAGATTGAATAAAAATATCCAGAAACCAGGAGCAGTTTAATCATTAGAAATGATGTTTCACATGCTTCTGCGGTTGTCATTTTTAATTGTGTTAATTCAGTTCCCTCATTCATCAAGCTTAATGACCTTTCAAGATCTAGATTCTAAAGGTTATGCCTGTCCACAGGGTTTAACATAAAAATACTTCAGAGATGTACTTCTAATTAAATCTGGCTTTTTAATGCTTCAAATACTGTATACCACATTTATTCTTCTTTTCTGACTTGGATCTGCATGAACAAAACTTGCTTAACAAGCGGATCCTCAAACATGAAAAATAAGAAATTCACTAATTCTTGGAGTATCTTGCTTGATTTCTTTGTGGATGACATTGTACAGCAAAAGAAAAGCCAACATAAAGAGTTGATGAAGAGTCATCTAGATTCGAAATGTTAGCTTGTTCTCTCTCCACAGATGCTGCCTGACCTGCTATGATTGCCAGCATTTTTTGTTTCCACTCAAAAGCCAGCGTTGATTTCTCTGTCCAACCTCATTAGAATGCCATGTGTGCAAAAATAGTTGACTCCTCTCAAACTGGGTATGATGTCACACTGGTGGATTAGGGCAAATATTTCTTTTACAGTTCTGTAGCAGGAATGTTTATTTCAAGCTTTGTATATTAAAAGTGGAAATAATATCTGTCAATTCTTCAGCATGGCTCTTCTTCACTTTGAATACAAGAATAAATGTAAGCTTTTTTCTTAATTTTGAGGTTGTGCTTTGTGCTGCTGGAGATTTGATTTCTATGTGTTGTTTTCTGTCCCTTTTCTAGAGCGCCAGGTCTTCCTTGCCACTTGGAAAGACATCCCCAATGAAAATGAGCTTCAGTTTCAAGTTAAAGACTGCCATCTAAATGCAGGTGCGTGGATAATTTCAGGATAAGATGCTGCATTTGCACAGTGTTGATGCAAATATTTAATTTCAGTACATCAAAGCTTCTATGATTTTCAAAAATGGGTCCACAGTGTTCTTGTCATACATCTAACTACTTTGCTAACTAGAGCGTAAGGTGAAAAGTTACCATGTTAAAGGTTATTGCAGAAAATTAAAGGACATATGAGCATGGATAGAAGATTAGCTGGTAGGAAACAGAATAAATGGGTCTTTATCTGATTGGCAGGGTGTGACAAGTTGAGTTCTACAGGTCTTTCCTGGGGCTTCAAGATTTATATTAGTAATGTCATTAAGGGGGAACAAAGGCATGCTGACACCTAGATAGGTAGAAAAGTATGTTGTGAAAAAGATATGTTTGCTGAAGGATGTGTTGAGTGAATGAATAAATTCTGGCGTATGGATTATAATGTGGGAACATGTGAACTTCTTCACTTTGGCATCAACAGTGAAAAAGCAGAGCATGAGTTAAACTGAGGACAACTGCAGAAATTTGAGGTGCAGAGACATTTAGGTACTCTAGTGCATGAGTCACAAAAAGCAGACTAACAGAATGCTGTCCTTCATTAAGAGAGAAATCAAACATAACAATCAGGATGTTATTTTTTTTCAATTTTGCCAGGCATTAGTAAGTTCGCATCTTGATTACTGTGTGCAGTTTTGTTCTCCTTATTTACTGAAGAATATTAATGCATTATAGGCAGATCAGAGGGGATTTACTGGATTGATACTTAGAAAGTACAGGTTGTCACATCAGGATTGGTTAGACAAAATGAGCTTGTTTCCACTGGAGTTTAGAAACATGAGTGTGACCTGTGAATAAGATCTTGAATGGTCTTGACAAGGTGGACATGAAAAAGGTATTTGCTCTTGTAGATGAATTCAGAACTATGAGGCACTGCTTTAACATTGGGGCCCCCCTTTTAGAACAGAGAAAGGAATTCTTTTACTGAGGATTGTGTGAATTTGGAAGCCTATTTCTCAAAAGGTGGTGGAGGCAAGATGATTGAATATTTTTAAGACAGTGGTGGATAGATTCTTGGTAAGCTGGTGAATCAAGGATATCGGGGTAGATGGGAATGCGGAATTCAGTACACAAACAGATCAGCCATGATCTTATTGAGCAAGCTCAAGGGACTGAATGGTCCACTTCTCTCCTATTTTGTATGTTTGCATGCAAGATTGGGTTATTAAATTTAAAGGTAATACTGTTTTGATCCATATTAGTAACTATGGACATGCTAGCAGTCAAGTAAAGACTTCAGAACAGGCCTGAGGAGTCATGTGGCTTATTTCTTCTGCCACTCATGATGACTAATATAAAATGAAGTGGCAGGACTCAGTTCCAGCATAAATATTGCAAGATTTTTTTTCAGCTTAAAATGAATCAATTTTATCATCATGCTTAATGTCAACTTGGCTCCATTGGCAGCGCTATCATCTCTGAGTTAGAAGGTTGCAGATTTAGGACTCGCTGCAGGAACTGAGCTCATAATCCGTGCTGATATATTAGTGCCGTCTTCTTGAAGGTGCCATGATCTGGGTATTACATTAAATTGAAGTCCCATTAGCTTGTGCCACTGGTCAGATCTACGTTAACATCCGCCAACATTATTCAAATATCAGGGATTTTCCACGCACGAGTCAACAGTTCTCTAAATCAAGTATTCCAGCATCAGTTTGCCAGTCATTCATTTAAGTTGAAAGGCTCCTGCATTTGCTTACATTTTCTGCATTTGTATGTGCAGCATTTTAAATATTACATTTAACTTTGTAGGTAGGAATAGAAGAAACATTCTGGGATGTGATCAGGGTTCTGTGCTGGGTCCTCTGCTTTTCTTCATAGATGTGAACTACTTTGGTGATTAAATGGAGAATTGTATGTTCAAATTTTTAAACTACAAAGTCAGGATGCAGAGGAAGTTGTGTATGTAGGAGGTGGAAGATGCAAAGAAATGCGGACAGACTAAGTGAATGGTCAAAACTTTT